CCCAGCAGGGAGGAGAAACAGCCGGGATGCGCGCTATTTCGGCCGAATATGTTTCAGCGGCCGAAATGTCAGTGCATCCCTACTGATAATGTTCAGTACAACTGAGTATTCTGTCCCCGAGATCGGTCAGCTTGGGTCATCTGATGCTGATCAGTCCCCAATCTGACCACCAGTATTGTCTGGAAGTGAGTTGTTGGTAATCTTGATTTAGTCCCTTAAACTGTGTGCACAGGCAAAACCTTTTTTAGTTTTATATAAAAAAGGGTTAAAAAACCATAATCAGGCTATTTTTTTGCTGTTTGTCTTCTGCTGGGTAGATTTTCCTCTAGACTTGAAGACTTAACAAGAAATGAGAGGAAATCTTGAGGGAATTTTGAAGCTTCACTAGAAGCACCTCAGTGCACAGTGGCGTAGTGGTTAGCACTTGCAGTGTTGGGGGTCCCTGGTTCGTATCCCGGCCAGGACACTATTTGTAGGGAGTTTGCATGTTCTCCCTGTGCTTGGAGTGTTTGGAGGAAACCCGCACAAAGACAAGCTGGAAGGTTACTTGGCTGCTGTCTAAATCGGCCCTGTATGTATGTATGTATGTATGTATGTGCATTCGGGACCTTAGATTGTAAGCTCCTTGAGGGCAGGGACTGATGTGAATGTGCTCTATGTAAAGCACTGTGTAAATTGTTGCCGCTATATAACTATATGTGATAAATAATGAATGCTCGACACTAAGATTTCCATTATACTCATTAAGTGTAGTGTCACTAGAAGCTGGTCACTCGAAAAACTTTTTGGGGCAGACTGGGCACCTTCCTATATGGAGACGTTATCTCGCACCATTCCTTCCTGACCTGGCCCAGTTTATTTATATGCAGATTCCACCGTGACACATTCATATGTGAAGAAGTACAATTGTCACCAGCGCACACCAGGGAGACAGGTCAAACAAACATGTTTTATTGACGCATGTTGTCACAATGATAGCAATGTTTTGGGGCCACGCAGGGTCCCCTTCATCAGGCTCAGTATGTGTCATACTGAGCCTGATAAAGGGGGACCCTATGTGGCCAGGAAATATAGCTTTCAAGGGTCATTTTATAGTATAACTATAGTGTATCCTTTTTAAAGTTTTTAGATTTGATTTACAGTAAAATAGACCTATACCAGTTTGACTGCTAATAATTAAAG